AGTTGAGGGCTGTTTGGAAACTGAGAGAGTGTTTGCTGTGTGAGCAAGGAGACAGCAAGGAGCCTGGGCGTGGCTTAGCTCAACTGTTCTGTACTAAAGCTGGTTGCTGCTCTGAAACGGAAACTCCTCTCCTCTGCTTGTGTTTTGCATGTGGAAGAGATTTCTTTCCAGGTGGGAAGGGGGAGTAAACATCCTGAGCACCAGAGCTTGTTAATAATAATAATAATATAGGAAACACTAACGGTTCTGATGGTCGCATCGAAAAATCCTTTCTTAGGGAGCGCCTAGAAGCCAAGTGGAACAGACGTGCCAAATTTAACGTTTGTTGGCTTGACAGTTCTGGAGATTTTGTGATGATGCGTGAGGGATATTTCGCTTTTATATTTATAAAGACTGGGGGGAGGGGCAATCAAGACGCTGGGTCCATTTCCCAAAACCAGCCCTGTCTTGTTGCAAACCTTGTTCCACATTCTCTGCCCCACACAGAGTTCTCTTATCACTCACCATATGGTCAGCAGCCAATGAAGCAGGACAATTGCCTAAAAGTGAAACAGAAAGAATTGACTCGACACTTTTTAAAAACGCTTCTTTGGATCCAACTTTTTCATATCCGTTCCCCAATATCTCTTTTCACCCAAATGATCCATATCAATTCTAGATGTGTTTTTTTTTTTTAATAAAGTGAACCCTTTAAAAGCCCAAACTAACTCAGTTTTCGATCTGGGCTAATCTGGAGGGGCACCAGGTTGTTGACAGGGGTTGTGCAAATACACACACTCACTTACACACAGACACATGCTTGAGTGAAGCTTTACACCAGTATGACACATTTGCGCTCTTCTGAAATATTCATTCCTGCGACATTCCTAGAAGTTTCCTCAAACTCAGTGACCAAAAAACATTAATTATTTCACGCATTTATTTTACGAGGAAAGAACTTACAAGCCCTATTTTTTTTGTAATGCTGTATATAAAATTGATCTCAAGGATAATTAACTCAACAAATTATCTCTTGATGGCGGTGAGGAATTCCTTGAAAACCAGAAAGCAGGAAGTCTATTTTTGACCCCACATGAGCAAGCAAGCAACAATGCCAATGTTACTCATTTTTTTGTAAAATAAATTTTTCGCATGTCACATGTTCCCCACAGCTGGCTTTAGGCAGTTTTTAAAAAAACAAAATGTAACACAATTAGTCATGCGGCGAGATTGCAGATCCAGCAAAGATGAAAACATCTGGGCAGAAACATTAAACCAAGAGAATTTTAAAAAATAACAACAATCCAGATCCAGAGCACAATTTCATTTAAGCCTGTTGCACGAATCACACTGGTTTGTAATTCCAGAATCACAAAAAAACAAACAAACAGTAAATCAATATTGTGCCTTAAGATTCAGAAATAATAAACCAGTTGCACAGCTGTGTATGAGCACATCTGGAAAATGTGAAAGCTAGAGAGAGATAAATCCTAAACACAGCCGCATCGTCTCTAAATAATAATAATAATAATAATAATAATAATAATAATAATAATAATAATAATAATA